CGAGTGCGAGTGCGAGTGCGTATGTCAAAGTACGGTATACGTATTTTAATTACGTATATACACGTATTACGTACGTTAAAAGCTACAAGTAGAAGACGTTAAAAAAACAACATTCAATTGGCATTCGCGTATAAAATATAATATAAATTGTGCCATTTCCATAAATTCTTGTCTAATCGAAACTTGTAGGCTGTTTTTTGCGTGAAAACGAAAGTGACAATAATAAATAGCCATCTCGTTTGCTCCCTCCTATTGCGTTATTTTCCCTCTCGACGTACGTATCTACGTATCTACGTATCTACGCGCGGAAATCAACGCGAAAGCATCCTACTATTTCTTGATACGTCGATGCATGTATATAATACCGTTCGAGGGTAGTTTTCCTCGTTTCTTTCTTTCGCACATTTATACTATACGCCCGGGAACTAAATCTGCGATCCTGCGGTCAGTCGGTAGCGTCGACTGACTAATCTTAGCGTCTGAATTCGCAGTTACGTAAGGTCCAGTAACCCGACAGCACAAAATTAGGATCCAAGCTCCTCGCACACTCGGCTGAACTATGACGACGCCGAGTGTCACGATGTCGGTCGGTGTAACAGCGTCGACAAACCACCACACGTCAACGCAACAAGAACGATGATATGAATAGCGGCGTCGTATGTGGCTAGAGAGTAGCTGCTGCGAGCAAAACTATACTTTAAACATTATTATTGGTTCGATTTGGTTCGACGGACGGGCGGGCGGGCGGGCGGGCGGGAAGAGAGTAGTGGTCGTCAACGAAAAGAAAAGAAAAGAAAAGAAAAGAAAAGAAAAGAAAAGTCAGCTAGCGACCTTAGTTCGGTCGGTCCAACACGAAGCGACAGTTTCTTCCTTCGTCCGATCGAGCTAAATATACAACGAGTTGCTAGCGAGTTTACCGATGCATCGTGTGTGATTTAATGGCGTGTGCAGCGAGCAACAACCAGCTATCCCCAACCATCTAGCCGCGCGTCTCTCTTTTTTCGTCTCTTTGAACGATCGACTCGAAAAAAAAATATCGATGCGTAACTCGACGTCGGTAATATGGGTCGCTTGAAACAAATGACGAAGAAAACCCATTGTTTTGATTCGGGGGGCGGAGCAGGAATAAGCGTGCGAGTGCCCTTGCATACGTGCGCGCGCACACACATCCACCTCGATAAAGCAAAATATGGAAAGTAGGGAAATTGTAATTCAATCTATAACGTGTCTAAATCTAAACTACTTTCTAAACGACACACAACAACGACAACGAGTATCTTGCACATCATCTCGAAATCTCTCGAGAGAGATTTCTTGAAATCTTTAAAAAAAACACACACACGTTTAGTGGACACGTGGACAATTGTTGATCGCGTGTCG